AGGATGCCATTGGCCTTCTTGGCCACAAGGGCACATTGCTGGCTCATGGTCATCCTTCTGTCCAGCAGGACCCCCAGGTCCCTTTCTCCTACACTGCTCTCTAGCAGGTCAGCCCCCAACCTGTACTGGGACATGGGGTTGTTCTTCCCCAGATGCAAGACTCTACACTTGCCCTGGTTGAATTTCATCAAGTTTCTCCCTGCCCACCTCTCCAGCCTGTCCGGGTCTCAATGAATGGCAGCACAGCCTTCTGGTGTGTCAGCCATCCCTCTCAGTTTTGTGTCATCAGCAAACTTGCTGAGGGCACACTCTGTTCCCTCATCCAGGTTGTTGATGAAAATACTGAAGAGTACCAGTCCCAGTACCAACCCCTGAGGGACTCCACTAGTCACAGACCTCCAACTAGATTCTGTCCCATTGACCAGAACTCTCTGACATCTTCCTTTCAACCAGTTCATGATCCACCTCACTACCTGACCATCAAGAGCACAGATCCTCAGTTCATGTATGAGGATACTGTGGGAGACACTGTCAAATGCTTTGCTGTTATCAAGATAAACTGCATCTACTGTCACTCCCTGCCCAGGGACAGGGGCTGGGACTGACTCCCTCCCACTCTCTCTGTTTCTCTCTCTCTCTTCCTCAATTTTGCGGAGGGTTTCCTTGTGGTTTAGGCGCTGCAGAAGGGGTCCAGCAGCATGATCCCTCGCTCTGGTGTTCCTCGCCTCAGTGGCTTGCCCACATCAGGGCACCCCACTCCTCCTTGACCAGAAAGGTCAGATATTCAGCAGACATGTAAAAGTAAAGAGAGCTTTTAAATAAAGTGTGACCCAACTACTCCGTACTGTATGAAGGCCAGCCATATGTCAGCTTTCCATAAATATAAGCAATTCAAAAGAAAGGAGTCAAATGAGTTAAGCACTCCAACTGACAATGAGCACTGACTTTTCAGCTTGGGCAAGGGTCTAGGGAGACAAAAAACCCGCAGTGTTCATTATTACTAAACTGGACTAGAGAGTTTCCATGTCTTAGAGACACTGAAGATGTTAAGGACACAGCGCAACTGGCCCCCAAATGTTACTCCAAACACTTCTGAGCAATAGTACTGCTCCTTTACAAGTTCAGTATTTATCAGTTGCACTTCTAAAGAGGAAGTTAACACTTCCTGGTTTTTCTTAAGATGCTGTTAACATCTCACAAGTTTTCACACATTTCTAACAGGAAATTTCCACTCACTGAGTTATCTGTTACATTGCAGAGAGATAAATACTCCCTCAACCCAGATGTGTTGCTTTGTTTTTTTCATTTTGCCTTTCTCCAATTCAAAACCTTAATTGCTGCTTCCAAAATAAACAGATGTCAGACTGTATCTCTTTCTTACAGGTCTCAGAGGTGCTGGCATCAGTCCTGTGTGGAAGGCTTTCCCAGATAGATTTTTACTATCTCAGCCACACCTCCCTTTTCTGAAAATATGGCCTTCAGAACAACCTATTTGCATAACTGGAAAACTTTCACATCGTTACAGAGAGTAGAAAGGACTTAACACTCAAAACCTTGAAGAATTTGAATTCTCTCTTCTTCATTACTAAATTAATTCAGACAGAAGACAAACCAAGCAAGCAGTCTTTGTCCCTTAGGCACAGCAGGTACTGACTATTGTTCAAAGAAGTTGTCCAAAATCAGAAAGTAACATCAGTTGGAAAAATGACTCTCCCACTACCGCAATCATAATTGGCAAAGCAGCAAGTTTGCTACAGTCTCAATTAATAAACTTATAATTTCCACCTGAATCACTGAAAACCTAGCTTTTTCTTCTAACGCCTGTTTAATATCTCCACAGGGCTGCTTCTCTGCCACAAATGCCCTAGACTGCCTCTTCTGGCTACAAGGTCCCAGAAAGGATTTTGTGACACCAGAGACCCAGTGGAAGCTTTTCATTCTCCCTTGGAGTTCTGATAGAGGAGCTTTTTCATTCGCTGACTCCTATTTCAGCCCAGATCTTTGAGGCTGATACATCAGCCACAAACCTGAGGAAAAAAAACCAACCAAACAACAACAACAAAGATGAATAGTAGAGATGATGTCCACGGTCAACAAAGCAGTTCACAAAGCATAATATTCCAGCCACCAGCTAACTACGTCCAGACAAACCACTGATCAACAGTTCTCACAAAAATCAAAACTCACTGTCAGATAGTTCCTACAATTTAAAATTGCTGATGTGGCTGTCAAGCTGACATAAGACACAAAAAGTAGCTGCAATTTATGGGTGCTTATAAGTGTTATGGAATGTCTTTATGACATACACTTCACAAATGATTTCTCCACTGATAAGAATTGATAATTTATATACATTATTCAGGCAGTAGGTTTTTTGTGGGTTTTTTGCTCCTCTCTTACCATCATTTGCTATGGTCAACCTCACACCACAAAACTACCACTGTTTGCATTACAGTTGCAATATTAGAGTTTAAATAGTCTTCATGCTTAAATAGTCTTCATACAGTACATGTAATGTACTTTGGAGGACTGAACTGTTAGTTTAACCATGAGAATACTCAAAGATATTATTAGACATGTTTGAAATTAGTCATGTTAGGTCCTTAAATGTACAAAATATTTATACTAAGGAGTTCCTTACTGCTGTGACACAGAAGTAAGATGTAGAGCAAAATGCCTGAAAAGTGAAAGAAGAGATCACACTGTTCAGTTAGCATCAGAGCAGAACACCTGTCTCAAGGAGCTGCATGTAGCTTCCTTAAGAAAAAGTATGCCAAACTTCCCTCCCTCACTGCTGAGTACCATAATTCAACATGCTGTGCATGTTAGCATAGAGGATTTCTGGAAATACGACTGGCTGACAACACCAATATCTTTCTTATAGTTTATGTCACATTTTAGTCTTGTCCCATTAATCTAAAATCAAAACACCTGCTCTCTGCCCCAGGTTCATCATGGTATCTATTTCATCTCAAAACAAGGCTAGCAATGTGGGCACCTAAATACCTTCAGTACCATGTTCTCTGCAGAAAATCTTAATGCTGATAAACTGGAACCTTTACTTCTTAAGCTACTGTACAAGATAAATATTTTTATTAATTGTATTACTGAGACAAAAAAAAAACAACACCCAAACAACAACCAACCCTTCACCATACAGCTTTTAAAATAACACATAATCCCATCAAGATGCTTCTGAAGTGTAAATGAGTAATTTATTAAATGAGTGAACCTCCCCCCACCAGCCAACAGGAAGGAAAAACTGATTCTGAAACTCATAATTTTAGCAGATTTATATGATTAACCCGTTAAATAAGTTGCATCTAGCAACGGGCTTCAAAAATCTAAAGCACCACCTACTGTTTTACCTATTTGTCCAAATGATGTATTTTGCTTTTGAAACAGGTGAAAAATGAGTGTAACCTAAGCTTTATTTTCTTTATTTATTTGAATAAAAGAGTTCAGGTAATATTTTTACTTCTTTGTTGTTTGGCTTCAGCAGCAAGGTGTATTGGTTTTAAATGGTTGAATGATTTAAATGGTTCTGAAATACGTTATTTTCTCAACATTACTAAAAGGGTTTATCTGTCTCTACTTATAGTCACTCAATGGATTCCAAATCAGATTACTTCACAAGTAAAACAGTGTGCTATTTTCTCCTGATTGTCAGAAACAAAACCTATAATTTCAAATGCCAACAATATTCTCCTGAATTTATTCAACATCTGTCCAACTTACATTGTCAGTTGTATGCATACAAATTTTTAATACTTTTACTGATATAGAAAGTCCACTTATCTTTCCTAGACTACTTTGGAGCAGAACTTAGCCTTTATGGAGCAACCATACACTGGCCAGACTGCATCTGAACACAGACATGCATAACGTAGTTAATGACTGCACAGGTTTGACTGACACAGAGAGATGAAAACATTTTATTTACTCTTATGAAGGATGCCTTGACTTTTGGGTCTAATGTAATTCAATTGCATTTATCACTGCAGCCTAACTATGTATAGGTATAAAATATCTGCCTGAAATCCTAAATCAATGTCTGTTTTCCAGGCCAGAAAGAATTATGGACAACAGGAAATGAATCGTACATAATATGAAATTAACTGCTTTTTAGTTAAGACACTCACCTTATTTCCAAAACCAAAGAAGAATTGATTTTCCAACCTTCTATAGCATGCGGGAAGATTGAGGAGCCACCCTTTTGAATTATCTTATCAGAGCCATTGATCATTGATCTCAAACTCAGTTCACCATCTCTGAAATTCAACATAGAAAAGACACAATTACATTAAAGCTAACTCGAGTTTAAAGTGATCCATGTCACAAGCACCAGTAATATTTCCTTTTATTCACAATTTTAAAAAAAACAACAAAAAACAAAGCAAAAAAACCAGTTTTCTCCCCTACACACTCAGCTTGCCAAAGCAAATACACTGTACCTGTGAGAAATCTATGAGACACCTGTATCTAACTGAATATGCAATTTAAGAGCTTAAACGTGTTTTCATTTGGAATGAAACAGACATAACAAAAATTACAATAAACTCTAAATTGTGAACCTGGACCAAACTTCAGTGTTTATGTTAGGCAGATTCTGTATTTCTATGTTCCAAATTTACAGCACTAAACTAAGAACAAAGTGTTAGCTTTCTAGCCCTCCCCCAGCAATTGCTCATGTTCTATGATAATGGCCTAATAGTCTTTCTTTGCCTCCTATTGATACTAAAATACTCTCATGCCTGCAATTCTGGAGTTTAGCAGCACATAAACCACAACATTTAACCAGATTTCCTGAAACTTTTGTATGCACACATTCAAACAACGTGCACTGTTTTATCTTCATAATCAATCTTGTCATATTCATAGATTTTGGTAAGTAACCTTGCAGAAGAAAAAAATAAGTAGTAAGCGTGGATGATGACCACAGCGCATCTGATGAGTTATGATAACGTTGCTAGTTGCAATTACGTGAGTCAACAGGGTCAGACAAAGGTGCTAGAGAAGCTAAAATACTGCAAGCACAACTTTAGGTCTTAGTTCTGAACTCGGGTTTTATCTCCATATGTTTCCACTTTCTTCCACACTGTTTCTGCTTAGGTGCCAGAGCAGCTTTCAGCTGACTTCAAACATAGCTGTTTTCCATTAATACATCAAAGTCGCTGGATGTAACATTCTACCATCAGAATGTCTTACATCTCAGGAGTCTATATAACAGCAATATTCAGGAATCTGTCCATGCTCTGAAATATTGCCAGTAACAGTAACTTAATTTAGCTTGCAAACAAAACTTTTGAAAACCAACCATCAACCTATAAAATGGAAAAGACATGAGACTGTAAGCTTTCTAGAGAATAGCTGACTCTTGCTTTCCTGCGGCTGTAAGTTCTGAAAACAACTGGATCCTGACCCTTAGTAAGAGCTACAGCAACATTACTATGGTATACAGTATTAGCATTTGGCATATTATACAGCAGACTAAACTCAAAGTAACCTGGCAATGGGACATTAACTAAGCTAAATTATCAAAACTGGTAACATCTAGTCATTTGCAAACCGCTGATTGCAAAAGCCCCTGTAACTAACAAGCCAGTATTACACACTTCATCAAAAACACTGATTAATACCAACACTCTCCCTCCTCCCACATTCCCTCTCTGCCATCATGCTGCAGCACTGATACTGAACTGACTCATAGGTGGGAGTGCCACCTACCGAAAACCCCACAATTTTAAGAAATTGTGTAGGTACAAGATGCATAGGAAAATTACTCAAATCACATTAACTTTAGAGCAAGGCAGGATGCTGCAGAAATCCTAAAATTCAATAACCAGAAAGTAATCAATACTTTCTGCCATTTTAAAATGCTTTATCCCCTAAGTTTTCCATAATGGATGTAAATACATTTATTACACATATATTTGCTGTAAAATAATGTTAAATTATGTTATCATGAGCTAAAGGAAGGTCCTAGGCACTCTGTGTTAAAATTCTAGTATCAACAAAAAAAATCATCACTTACATGCTCTTTTCCCTTTTACTGGTGTTTATTTACCTTTCACTTAAAGTAGTATTAAATCAACTAACACATAAAAAGATACATTTACACCAGAAAATCCTTTAGTGTGTAAAAAACTGTGAAGCAAATTTTGGCTACATGTGGATTCTACCTAGTGACTAATTTCTGATCATTTTAGCAGCTGTCTCTAGTCTGACAGGAAGGAGTACATATTAAAACACATGAGCAGCTTTAAAGCTGATTCTCCCTCACACATTCATTTTCATTTGTATTTTTGCACAGCTACAACCTCAAACTTTTATACTTTTGAAAATTAATACGGATACTACATAGAATCGTGGCAGAAACTGGGCTTACAGCCAGGCTGCATAAGAGACAAAGTTACCAGAAAGTTGCTAAAATCTTTCATGCCAAAGGAAGCAAACATCGCTTCATCGATCACACACACACACACAGGCAAGGCCACCTCCTGCTCCCGGGAGACGCCGGGATCACTGTCACCCAGTCGTGCCCGGCTGCTCCAGCTCCCGCGCCTGCCTGCCTCAGAAAGGGCTGGAGCACAGGGATGCACTTTCCATCTTTAACTCTGAGGACCGCAAGGATGGAGGATTAAGTAGGTTGTAATTGCCCCAGCTCCCTCCAGGCCCATACAGGCACTTGACAGCCTCCTCAAAGTAAGGCAAAAAGATGAAAATGTGCTGTGAAAGCATCTCTCACCCGGTCGCTTCGTACAATTAAAAAAAAAAAGAGAGAGAGAGAGAGAGAGAAGCGTGTAAGCCCCGCTGCTGCTGATTTCACCATGCCGCAACGGAATTTATGCATCCCTCTGTGAAAACTAAAATTATACCCCTACGTGGAGAAACAGGCCTGGTTGAAAACCCGGCGTCTTCCCATGACAGCAACAATAAGTTGAGAGAAAAGTGAGGAATACAGGCGTGCATGTATACACACAAAACCCGCTGCCCTCCAGGAACAAGTGAGGTTCCTCGGCGTGCTCTGTTATTACCGAGGCTGGGGAGAGCAGCCCCAGCAAAGCCCCAGCCGCCCGTCCCCCCGCTCCCAAAAAAATCATCACTTACATGCTCTTTTCCCTTTTACTGGTGTTTATTTACCTTTCACTTAAAGTAGTATTAAATCAACTAACACATAAAAAGATACATTTACACCAGAAAATCCTTTAGTGTGTAAAAAACTGTGAAGCAAATTTTGGCTACATGTGGATTCTACCTAGTGACTAATTTCTGATCATTTTAGCAGCTGTCTCTAGTCTGACAGGAAGGAGTACATATTAAAACACATGAGCAGCTTTAAAGCTGATTCTCCCTCACACATTCATTTTCATTTGTATTTTTGCACAGCTACAACCTCAAACTTTTATACTTTTGAAAATTAATACGGATACTACATAGAATCGTGGCAGAAACTGGGCTTACAGCCAGGCTGCATAAGAGACAAAGTTACCAGAAAGTTGCTAAAATCTTTCATGCCAAAGGAAGCAAACATCGCTTCATCGATCACACACACACACACAGGCAAGGCCACCTCCTGCTCCCGGGAGACGCCGGGATCACTGTCACCCAGTCGTGCCCGGCTGCTCCAGCTCCCGCGCCTGCCTGCCTCAGAAAGGGCTGGAGCACAGGGATGCACTTTCCATCTTTAACTCTGAGGACCGCAAGGATGGAGGATTAAGTAGGTTGTAATTGCCCCAGCTCCCTCCAGGCCCATACAGGCACTTGACAGCCTCCTCAAAGTAAGGCAAAAAGATGAAAATGTGCTGTGAAAGCATCTCTCACCCGGTCGCTTCGTACAATTAAAAAAAAAAAGAGAGAGAGAGAGAGAGAGAAGCGTGTAAGCCCCGCTGCTGCTGATTTCACCATGCCGCAACGGAATTTATGCATCCCTCTGTGAAAACTAAAATTATACCCCTACGTGGAGAAACAGGCCTGGTTGAAAACCCGGCGTCTTCCCATGACAGCAACAATAAGTTGAGAGAAAAGTGAGGAATACAGGCGTGCATGTATACACACAAAACCCGCTGCCCTCCAGGAACAAGTGAGGTTCCTCGGCGTGCTCTGTTATTACCGAGGCTGGGGAGAGCAGCCCCAGCAAAGCCCCAGCCGCCCGTC